CTCTAAATATGACCTCTTCAAACCCAGGTACACTGGGGTCTGGGGCTCAGAACTCAGCTTCCGAAGGTACTAGATTCAGGTACACTTACCAGCGCGGCAGGTACAAGTGGCGCTCCTCTCCATGAGGCCGGGGTTCTGCAGGAACCAGCAGGGGAGCTGTGGGGCTGCTGGTTGGGCTGTGCTGCTCGCTTGCTGGCTTTATAGGGGAGGAAGGGGGCGGGCGCAGAGCCCCTGCCCTGCCTGGGCCCCAGCTGGGCATGCGCTTGGTGCTCACTGACCTTGGCTCAGCTGAGCTCACCTGGCAGCCCCTCCCCCTAGGGTAGGACTGCACCCTGAGCCACCTCCCAGCCTCTGTCTCCCACTGCCCCACAGCGACCTTCCAGTTCCCAAGATTTTTAGGCCATTCTCATCCACCAGAGTCCCAGTCCTGTCCCAGTCCCAATCCCTGATGTCATCTTAGCCTGGCCCATGGTCCCAGCATCACTGATAGCAGGTAACATGTGAGGGATTCCCGTGCATCCGGCAAGGCCCTATGCCCTGGGACCACCAGGACGGTCCCCGGCTAGCCCTTCCCTCCTATCTTCTTTTATCCTGAAGTCAGTGGGCATGGATGCAGGGTTCTCCTTCACATAGACTTTCCTAGGGTTCCCCATAGGCAAAGCCCACCACTACCCCAAGCTGGGATACTTTGGATGCAAAGTTCTTCACCTGCAGCCAATAATCACACACATGGTCATGTTGCCAAGAAAATTCTGGAAAGGCCCTTCAAATCCCTCCTCACATTGTTCATTCAAAGGAGTCCAGGACTGGAATATGGGAGAACAACTTCATCCTAACTTGGGGAGTGTCTTATTTTTTTCTTTTTTGGTCTTGTTAAGACAGGGACTCTCTAGCTACATAGCCCAGCTGGCCTCTAGTTCTAATCCCCTTCCTTCCTCAGATTCCTGAGGCTGGGATTACAGAAGTGAACTACCACACCTGGTTCTAACTCTTTATTCCCCTGTGCCTTTGTATATTTGCTGATGTTTTCCGGCCAAACCTTAAATAATGGGTTTGTGTTGGTTCGTGCTTTTCTCTCCTGAAATTAATACCATTTACCAAAGCTTAGGTCTGAGATGGACAGAAGTAAAAGCTATTTCTTCCCAATGGAGATTAGAATATCCTGTGGAGGATTGGAGCAGCTGGGGGGAGGGGTAACATTCCCACTCTGCCGGCATTTTTTTTTTTTGGGGTCCGGTTGTGGGGCCTGAACTCTGGGCCTGGGCGCTGTCCCTCAGCTCTTCAGCTCAAGGCTAGCACTCTACCACTTGAGCCACAGAGCCACTTCCGGCTTTTTCCTTTTTGCTTATGTTGTGCTGGGGAATCGAACCCAGGGCCTCATGCATTGCAAGGCAAGCACTCTACCACTGAGCCACCTTCCCAGCCCCTCTGCCGGCATTTTTAAGCCCCAAATGTTAGAAGATGAATTTGCACTGTGCAAAGTAGTTGATGAAAGATGGAGACGTTTCTATGCCACCCACACTTCTCATAGGGAGGTAGGGATGTGGTCTTGCACACTGTTCCCCACTTTACAGAAGAAAAAGCTCAGTGAGTTCACCTGCATTCCACAAGACATGGCTGGCTTTCTTCCTTTCTTTCTTTTGTACTGGTCCTGGAGCATGAACTCAGGGACTGGCTATCCCTTAGCTTTTTTGCTCAAGGCTGTTGTTCTACCACTTGAGCCACACCTCTACTTCTAGCTTTTTGCTAGTTTATTGGGGATGTGTCTCTCTGATTGGTCTCCTTGGGCTGGCTTTGAACTGTGATCCTCTGATTTCAGCTTCCAGCATAGATAGGATACAAGCATGAGACACCAACTTCCAGTAAGACACAGCCTTTTGGCGGGGGAAGGGGCATGGGGCTTGAACTCTGGGCCTGGGCATTGTCCCTCAGCTCTTCAGCTCAAGACTAGCGTTCTATCACTTCTGGCTTTTTTTGTTTATGTGCTGCTGAGGAATCAAACCCATGGCTTCATGCATGTGAGGCAAGCACTCTACCACTGAGCCAACTTCCCAGCCCCCAACACAGTCTTCTAAGTGCTAACAGTTAAGCCCAGATCTTGCATTTCCAATTAGTCCCTCCCCCGTGTCTCTTATTTCCCAGACACACAAAGAAAAGTAGAGACACAGTCAAGTAATAACTTTTATTCTCTCAAACTTCACAGAAATAGGAATGGGACAAATAATACAGGTTTGCACCACTTTTTTTTTTGCCTATTGAACTCAGGCACTTTTGTTCTCAATTAGCTTGCTTGCTTAAGGCACTCTACCACTTGAGCCACACACCCCTCTCCAATCTCAAAGATTGTGATTCTCAGATCTCAGCCTCTTTCGTAGCTAGGAATACAGGTATGAGCCATTGGCTCTGGGCCCATCACTCGACATGTGGGAACTAGGATATCCCCCCACATCAGGAGTACCAGCTACCCTTATTTGATGCCCCTCTGTAACCACAGACCTGGTCAGATCTGGCACAGCCTAGTGGGCAGCAGGAAGAGGAGCCTGGGGAAGAAGAGGAGAGAGAGGGAAGTCTTCCTACAACAGCAGTCTTGGCATGAGCTCTTCCCTAGCCAAGCCAGATCCTAAATTCAGGCTGTCTGCTTCCAGGAGCAGTTGGGGGGAGCTCTGGTATTCAGAGACTGCTCAGTCCCCTCCCAGACCTGGGGAGATAGAGAGAAGTTCCCTGGAGGGGGAAAAAACCTAGTATACTTGAAACTAATCCAGGTTTGTGTAAGGTATATTAAATAGGTAGGTTTCATTAGGTAGCCAATGAAGAGAACACCACACGCTATTTAGGCAGGAAAAGAAGTTAATTTACCAAACTGATGCCCCAGCCATGCATGGTGGAGAAGCATGGCTGAAAAAGGAAAGGGGGGGGGAGGACACCCCCCCCCAGGACTTATCTAGGCCAGGGATAGGAAGAGATGTGGCCAGGTGGGGGAAAGGTATGGCCACACTGGATCTGGATGTGACCTCAGGGTCTGGGACCCTCCTAAGGTCAGATGGGAAGCATGTGACCAGAAGTGGCCCAGGATGTGACCTAGTAGGAGGGGGAGGTGACTACTTCCAGGTCTGCCAGTTACCTAGGTAAGAGATACTGGGTGGAAACTTAGCCAAAAGGGAGGGAGGTGTCCCCGTGCAGACTTTACATTCCACTGACTTCAAAGTACACCTGTTCCCCCCTTGGGCCTACCAAGGTAAGGCTGTCTCGAATCCCTGAAGATCCAGGTAACACTGAGCCAGCTTCTCTCCTCTCCACACACCTCACTACCTCATCCCTTAGGTCACCTCCAAGCCACGGACATCCAATCTTTTCAGTAATATTTTTCCTTTTTATCTTTGTCCAGCCCCCTGCCTGAGAAGACTTCCTCCAGGAGACTCGCTTCTTGCACGCCACCAAGGGACAGCTGCTGCCCACTGCCTTCTCTGGGAGGGGACCAAATTCCAGCCTTTTACCCCTATTGTCGATACCCCTTGCAAGCAGGAAGTAGCCAGAGAGACTCTTCGCCCTTTTTCATAATTATCAAAAGGCTGGAATGTAAGGTCTGCACGGGGATACCTCCCTCCCTCTTGGCTAAGTTTACGCCCAGTATCTGTTACCTAGGTAACTGGCAGACCTAGAAGCAGTCACCTTCCCCTCCAGCTAGGTCACATCCTGGGCCACCTCTGGTCACATGCCTCTCATCTGACCATAAGAGGGTCACATCCAGATCCAGTGTGGCCACACCTTTCCCCCACCCCCACCCCTTTCCTTTTTCAGCCATGCTTCTCCACCATGCATGGCTGGGGCATCAGTTTGGTAAATTAACTTCTTTTCCTGCCTAAATAGCGTGTGGTGTTCTCTTCATCAGCTACCTAATGAAACCTGCCTATTTAATATACCTTACAGTTTGTATTCACACTATTCTCTAGAGGAAAAGGATATGAGGAAACTGGTCACTGTCCTGTTGCCACCCATTGTCCAAGACCCAGTGTGGAAGAGAAAACCAACAAGGAGCTGGGAGAGACGCAGGAGACAGGGCAGCAGGGCTTCAGCTCCCTGAGCCCCTCCTTTGAGCAGGACCAGCCCTAGCTTTCCACTCAGAAGAGGGAGACAGGTCTGATCTTCTGTCTCTCATCTGGAAAGGATACGTGTCCTCCTTTTCTTTCACAAGGAAATCCCCATATTCAGGACCCAGCCCAGGATGAGTGCAACCGGAGGCCCAGACTCAGGCATCAACCTCCAAAAAGGCAACCTTGTTTGCCTCCATCCAGTCAGACTCCTACAGAGCTGCAGAGCCCTGGGCACAACTGATAGCCCCTGACCCTGAAAGACATCTGTCCGGACAGTCTTGGGCCTCAGTACCTTGAACTCTTGACAGATATGGGCAGAGAAGTGGGAAATGCCGTCAGGAACTGGGTCTCGGAGATATTAGACAACTAAGTCGCCTCAGCTCAGAGCTTGAAATGGGATCCCTTTAGCCCAGGGACACCATGTACTGCGGCCTGGGTTGAGCGTTTGTTCTAAGACCCAGAGCCAGGCATGCCTTACCAGTGGAGGGTCCATTTGGAGCTTAGCATACAGGTGAAGAAACAAGGTCCAGGGCTGCTAGAAGGCTCCTGGGAACCCTGGCCCCACCCAGACCCTGCTCCTACCCAACCATTGCTTATGACTGGCTGCAGCCTATAACCAACAGGCCACAGACTAGTTGAGTGTACCCCAAGACAGCAGGAGTGGGTCTGCCTCTTTAGTATGCACTCAGGAGGAAGGTTTTGGGGGGGGGGAGGACCAAGCATCTTTCCTACTCACAACTGCCCTCCCCCCCCACTGCTCCCCAATTTACAGCAGCGGTTCAGTGAGGTCACCCACTTGCTGGAAGAGAATGGCTTGGGGTATTTACATCTATCCCCAACCTTGGTCCTGGATTCCCAGATCTGTCCCTCAATCCAACCCCTTATTACTACAGAGAAAACCAGTCAGAATCAAGTCAATGATATTTATTACCATGCATTAACTTCATACAAAAAAGGCAGTGGGAAACAGGTAAGGGTTGAGTGAAAAACCGAACTTGAGACATACAAATCACTATTTACACGTGTGAGCAGGGCACCCCCACATCAGGCACAGCAGCTGCACTTCTCAGTTGCTCCTTTGCACACACAGCCCTGGGCACACTTGGCACAGCCCACCGGGCAGCAGGAGCAGCAGCCTGGGGAGGGAAGAGGAGGGAGAGTGAGAGGTAGAGCAGAATAACCAACCCAGCACAGCCTGCCTAGAGATCTGTCCTCTGCACTGGAGAATTTAAGATTTTCTCAACAATATGAATAGATGGCTTTCTAAGACAACTGAACTTCCCAATGGGAGCATTTCCAAATGCAGAAAGGCTGTCCAGACCTTGGGAGCTCAGGGCAGAGCAGAGAGCCTAGAGGGGCAGCAGGGCCTCAAAGGGCAAAGGACAGTCAGTTACCCCGCTCCCCCCCACAGTCCCTCCCACATGGCACAACCCCCAGATCTACAGGCACAGCCCCAACTCACTCTTCTTGCAGGAGGTGCATTTGCACTCTTTGCACTTGCAGGAGCCAGCG